AGAACCTTTGAAAAAAACAATTCTTGGTAATTTGTGCATCTGGTTTAAATTTTCTCTATATGATTTTTATCTGTTTTTCTACTTATAAATTTATGAAAAGTCTTTCAATAATATGGATACAACTTATCTTTAACCACGGTGAAATATTTTCACAGGTTTGAGTTAGCCTTCTCTTTCAATATTTATATTCTTGGAAATTTGTTCTGTTACAATATTTAGAATAAATATTTATTTGTATCTAGTAAGCAATCAATAAATGTTCATTTAATGAGGGATTGAAAGAGTGAATAATTAGATTTATTACCACATTGTATTGCTCTTAATGCTTACTGCTAGTCTTTTCTTCTTTTAACCAGATCTCCCCGTTTTGGATGCTTTTCACTTTGGTTTTCATCTTGAATGACTGGAACATATATTTTAGCAATACTTTTGAGATACATTTATGCTTCATATACACATACATATCAAAATATCATTCTATTGACTTTACCCAAGGACTTGGGTGATTGTATAGAATTCATTATACCTGTTTTCCTTCAAAACTCTGTATACCTTTTCCTACCTGCTGGTATGTGACACAAGGTGTAAGAGTGGCCTAAGTTTTATTTCTTTGTAAGAAATTATTGGCCAGGCACAGTGGCTCATGCCTGTAATCCCAGAGCCTTGGGAGGCTGAGGTAGAAGGATCTCTTGAGTGCAGAAATTGCAGACCAGCCTAGGCAACATAGCAAGACCCTGTCTCTACAAAAAGAAAAGAAAAGAAATCACTGCTCTTTTGGTTTTATCTTCCTGGCAGCTCTAAGGTACTTTTTCTCTCCTCTTGAAATTGCCCCCAAAATTAGCTCAATATAATATGAGTGGGCATTGATAACATTTCATAACTTCCCTCGGGAATATTAGGAATTATATTAAATAGATTTGGAAATGTTTCCTTCCACTTTGCCCTTAATTCTTATTTCTCTTGGGTCTGCTTGGCCTCTTCCTCTGGAGCATTAGTTTACACTATTTGAGTTTGCTTTTCATATCTGTTGTCTTCTTTCTTAGTCTAAGAATCTCTTTGTCTTTTTTGCCTCTTCATTCTGGGAGAATTTAAAGGGTTTGTTCCTGTACCAGTGGTTTGATTTTTCTGATCTGACATTTATGTGCTCGTTTTCTAATAAAGATTTTAATATTGTTATGATATTTTAATTTCTCAGTGTTAGCTTAGCTTACCCTGTTCTTGTTTTGTTTCTGCATGTGTCCTAGCTCCTGTTTTATCTCATTCTCCAGCATTTTTGTCTCATTGTTTATAGAGTTACTGTTTCACGGAATTTTATTGATCCTATAAACCAGATGCTTCACTTGTGTTTGCTCTAGTAAATATTTTCCCAAATGTATGCTCCTCTTCTTCGTTTTGCTTCATATATATATGTGTGTGTGTGTGTGTATATACACATAAAATATATTTCTATATATATAGAAAGAAATAATGGGTGGCTAAATTCTAGTATCTTTTCACATCCAATTTTTAATGTTTATTTTTTAAGAACCCTCTCTCATTTCTTAACCTGAAAGACTGGACATTACAGTGCTAGGTTCATGTGGCTGGTTCATTGATCCAGACACTTGAAGGACATGGCCGTTTTCTGTATTTAACTTTCTGTTTGGACTGGCCTCTGAATCAGGTACATAGAGTGACCATGGATACATGGCCTTCCTTGAACAGCTACCCATGGCATCATTGAAATGAAGCTCCAGGTCAGGAAGATGAGCCAAAGTTTACTTGGGTAGCTGCTTCATAAGACAGAGCAACCTATTCCTATGGCCTTCACACCTGTACCCACCAGTGCGGGGTTTGTAGGCTGCTGCGAGCGTTGTCATGTAGTCATGCAGTGTTTATTTCTCAAGTGGGAGGCTTTCAAGATAGTTCTCGGTGTTTCCCTTCAAACAATTTCTCTTCTCACTAATATTTAGCTAGATTTTTATGTTTCTCAAATATTGTTGGTATTTTTTCAGGGTTGATACATTAGTCCTTTCGTATAGTAGTCCATTGGTCATTTTATAAGGAATCCAAAAAGCATAGCATAAGAGAAATAGATAAATTTTCATCCTGGCACAGTGGCTCATGCCTGTGATCCCAGCACTTTGGGAGGCCAAGGCAGGCAGATTACGTGAGGTCAGGAGTTCGAGACCAGCCTGGCCAACATGGCTAAACACCGTCTCTGCAAAAATACAAAAATTAACCGGGCATGGTGGCATATGCCTGTAGTCTCAGCTACTCAGGAGGCTAAGGCAGGAGAATCGCTTGAACTCTGAAGGCAGAGGTTGCAGTGAGCCAAGATGGTGCCACTGCACTCCAGTCTGGGTGACAGAGTGCGACTCCGTCTCAAAAGAAAAGGAAAAGATACATTTTCTCAGTGCGAAGTTTACATGAATGCTATTAACTTAGCCTGTCTACTGCCCTGATTCCTGATTTCTCATATGATGTAATGATTATATTTCCATATCATTCAATATCCTGACAAAGATTATTTTATATTACTATTTCATCATAGAAGCAATATATACATACTCCCAGAAGTATTTGAGCCAGAGGGTACTGGACTGTTGGCCAGTAGAGCGGATCGGGCATAGGACCCACAGCATCCAGTGCCTTAATCCTTTACAGTTCCTTCCATGTGAATTGTCTGAGTGTGCTCTTTGCCCATTCCTCCTTTTGTTAATTTTTCAACAATATAACAGTTATTGTCTGCTATACATTAGAGCTCTTGAATCTCTCTAAGAGATGTCCTTCAATGAGACACAGGGATTTATTTGCCAAATCCTTATATTAAAGAGAGGATCTCCTTATAGTAGTTGCTATATAATATTCTCTTGTTTGCTTTATTTTTGATACAATACTTTCCCAGTTTCCTGTTCTCCTTGTAAGTAAGTATCATGGTTTTGACCTGGACAGGGTGAAAAATTCTTATACTGTAGAAATTATCAGTGAATTTTTGTCTATACTTCTTCCGTTTGCTTTGTATATAGTAAGACCAGCCAGGGATATAAATTCTCATATCCAAATTTTTCATCTAATTATTTTAATATTTAACTTTTTAATCCAACAGGATTTTATGTTGAATTTTTTGTGATAAGTGAGATTCAAAGGAATGTATTTTCCTCAGAAAACAAGACAAATTCTACAGTGGTGTCTATTAAATATTTCCTACCTATTCATGTGTGGCTCTTTACCCTATATCCCAGAACAATCTCACCTCAGTATAAGTAAACTTAGTCCATATTTATGTTTATGTATACATATGTATAATATTTAATTAGTGTGTTATATATGATGTTGTAATAGCCTATGATACAATATATACATGTACATTGATATATTTTTATATATATTTAACACAGTGTTTCTGGGATCAGGAATATTTAATAATATAAAATTTGTGATTAGAATAAAGAAGAAGACAAGATGTCACCAGCTTATTGATGATAACTGCCACCCCCAATACCTCATCTTGTCCCCAGGAGGCTTGCTGAGGCATGTGGAGGAGGAATGGAGAGCCAGATGGTGCCTGTGGCTCCATGTAGATGATTCCTACAGGGCTGGAAAGCAATTACTCAGTACCAGTCCCCTGGGAGACTGCAGACAAGGCAGGCATGTTCCCTGCATTCATGTCTACAAGGTGTAATGATTAAGCCAGCAGAATCATAGCGTTTCCTGATGGATGTACAAAGAATCAGCATGGACCCTCTTGGCTTGTTCATTACCTCAGTGTCACCTATGCAGACTGGTAATTACTCACGGAATTTATGGCATTTACATGTGACGATGATCTTTGCTGCATTAACGCCTCCTAAAGCTAAGGTCCATGGGGCCAGTTAAAAACCTGTTTATTACCAATAAAGCTTAAGCATTCAGGATTTGGGTAGATTTTACTGACACTACACTTAGAGAAAGATTTTAGATGTCTTCATCAAGAAGAAGACAAAGGTGTGTGTTGGATGCGGCCATTTTGAAGATATTTGGCAGCAGCTTATTAAATGCCCTAGAGTTAGCCTGTCTAACTCTGCTTTAAACAAGCACTTGATATGTACTAAACCAGAGAACTTCTCTATTTGAGGTGTAACTGTCTATTATATTTCTCTCACTGACTTAGGCTAGTTGCAGAGACTGGGCAGCAGAGGACCCTCCAACCAATACATTGGGAATTCTTGGCTAAACTTGAAAACTGTGTTTTAGGTCTGCCCTTCTCTATCTTGCATTTCTATCCACGTGCCAGTGTGAACTAAAATGGAGCTTCTTGTTACTCAGCTTCTTGTCCTTGAGGGGCCTGGAGGCTACAAAAAATGAGAAGTGGCCATTCATCTTGATATCTAGAACTCTTGCCCTGGGATGCTGTCAAAGAAAGAAAATTCTGGAGAGAAGAGGAGAAGTTACTATCTTCTGTCAGATGATCTAGAAGCAGAGCTTGAGATGGAGATTCTGATGCAAGTGATTTTTGGAGGGAATGCTCTCTGGAGAAAGAGAGTGAGCAAAGAAAAATAGGGTAGGATTAGAAAGGATTATAAATCATGCTGCTATAAAGACACATGCACACGTATGTTTATTGCGGCACTATTCACAATAGCAAAGACTTGGAATCAACCCAAATGTCCATCAGTGACAGACTGGATTAAAAAAAAGTGGCACATATACACCATGGAATACTATGCAGCCATCAAAAAGGATGAGTTTGTGTCCTTTGTAGGGACATGAATGCAGCTGGAAACCATCATTCTTAGCAAACTATCACAAGAACAGAAAACCAAACACCGCATGTTCTCACTCATAGGTGGGAACTGAACAATGAGATCACTTGGACTCGGTAAGGGGAACATCACACACCGGGGCCTATCATGGGGAGGGGGGAGGGGGGAGGGATTGCATTGGGAGTTATACCTGATGTAAATGACGAGTTGATGGGTGCTGACGAGTTGATGGGTGCAGCACAGCAACATGGCACAAGTATACATATGTAACAAACCTGCACGTTATGCACATGTACCCTAGAACTTAAAGTATAATAATAATAAAAAATAAAATAAAATAAAAGAAATAAAGTAAAGGTGGGACTAGCCTCAACCTGGTCCCACAAGGAGCTCTGGAGTAGGAGTTGCACCACAGAGCTGTCCTGCAGATTGTCATGGACTACCAGCAGCCTACCCCTCCCAGGGGTGGGTGCATGAACTTCCAGGCATCTTCAGCCAGGGTGGTACTTCCTCAGCCAAGAACAGTCCTTCAGAGAATGGTAAAGGTGCCAGCTGTTAGCAGCTGACACCTGCAGCATCCGCAGGATGGGTGCAATGGCCCCGTGAAGGGAACCAGAGTGGGGCACGGAAGTATTAACTACAATTCCTGACCCACCTTCATTTCTCTTGCCTCCAACAGTCACTCTCTCTATTACTCTGTTATGTATAGTCATAGCGCTTATCACTGTCTGGAAAGAGTGGCATATTTATATATTTACTGCTTATTATCTGTCTCCTTTCCACTAGATACCATAAACTCCAGAGCACATCAGCGTTGCATCATCAGTCTCTAAACAAGTGCCTGGCACATAGTAGGTACCCAGGACACAATTTGTTGAAGAGGTAGGGGCGGGATGAGGTAGGAACTTTGGAAATCTGTGTCATGCCCAGCGGTAGTGGATGCTATCAGTGTCCCATCCAGATCACCTCAGATCCTGGCTTTTTCATCCCTGGTTCCCATTCTCCAGCTTCTGCATGCTTCACTCCTAACAAGTGTCATCTGCTTATTAGTCTGTGCTTTATTAGTTGAGATAATAATAGCTAGAATTGGTTGAGTGCCTTCAGCCTGTCTAACTCTGCTTTAAACAAGCACTTGACATGTACTAAAGCAGTGCTTCTCAGGCTTTAATGTGTACGCAAGTCCCCTGTGGCTCTTGGTAAAATGCAGACTCTTTCAGTGGGTCTGATGAGGGACCTGAGGGACTGCATTTCCACTGAGATTCCCAGGAAAGCTGATGCTGCTGGTCTCCAGACCACACTATGAGTGGCAAGGGATTTGCTCATTAATCTTCATAACAGCTTGGTGAAATAGGTTCTTTTATTTTTTCCATTTTACAGATGAGGAAAGTGAGGCAGAGAGAGGTTAAGCCATATGCTCAAAATGACACAGCTGGTAAGAGATGGAAGCAGAATTTGAATCCAGGCAGCCTGAATCCCAAATGTGTCACCCGAAATACTCAGAATAAAGGCCTCTATTGAAAGATGAAGTTATAGGTGAGGTTGACCAGGCTAACAAGTAAAGACAATGCATCCCTCTGGTGGATCTCACAGTGAACAAAGTCTATACACTACTCCAAGACACTCGGAATCTTGAGCGAGCGTGACTCAATGGGAGACTGTTCCACTGTCAGTTTCTCTTCCAGCCTCCCATGACTCCAAACCATTAGGCTGCAGTTTTGACAGTGGCTCCCAATGGCTTGAAAGTAACTAATGAGTGAATGCCAGTGCCCAGTAGAGGTGGAAGACGGCAGTTACAATTTCTCAAAGATCATTTGACTCATCTTTTGTAATATTTCAACATTTAATGTAAAACAGCAGGCAAACTGGAGATTTATAACCTGATTCATTCTAATTGATTTCTTGGCTTCCTTGGGTCGAATTAATTTTTACTGTGTACCCTAAAATGGTGCAATAGGCTTCCTAAAAGCTGTTAGAAGGCAGCTGTATCATAGTTTATAAAAAGCTAACACTTGGCTTTTATTTGATAGGTAAATAGAAATTGATTTTGCTGTTGAGGTCCAGAAATAAAGGAGGAAAATTGACTCCAGAACTCAAGAGAAGATCCTGGATTACTCTGTCTTGGTTTGGGTTCTCCCAGGAGGAGATTCTGAGACAAGGACTCTGAATGCAAGTAATTTTCTGGAAGGTAGTGCCAGGAAACACGCCAGGAATGGGAAAGTGAGACAGGGAGAGGAGGAAGCCAAATAGGGGGTGCATTGTCATATAAGTTATATTGTGGGCAGCTCGTGTTCAATCTATGGAGTTGTCTAGGTTTTATTCCAACCAGGAACAAATCACCAATCACATCAGTCCTGGGTTGAGGGCTGCTTTTTCACCTTAACTCCAAGCATTCTGGACGTAGGCCTGGCTGGTTTTGACAGCCAGAGAAAACTCTCCTTCAAAGAGATGAGAGTGCTTGCACTTGGAGCTGTAGGGTTGGGTCTACCTGGGAATAATAAATGGCAAGGGGATGTAGACAGAGAACACATTGTCTGTTACAATGTCCAAATATAAACTGTGCTGCTTTGACCTTTTGTGCAACAGTGAAGTCCCCCTGGTTCCCAGCTGCTTGCTCCTGACCTTGCGTGGAGTTCGTAATCAAGACTCCTGTGCCACTGACTTGAAGATCTTTAACTAAGGCTGTTGTCCATCTTACATTTTATAATACAACACTGTATCACCATTTGGAAGAACATAAATTATAACTATAAATTACATAAATTAAAAGTTACAGCTATTGACAAGATTGTGCAGACTATAAAGTGCTTTTGGATTTTATTCATCAGTGTTCAGAATACCCCTCATGGTGACTTGGCTTTGAGTGGATCCCCCAGTAACAATCTTTTTGTGAAGAAAAAAAAAAAAAGAAATGAGAAAAGAGATGCCCCATCAAACTGAAAATTGAGTAGAAGCTTCTGTGTTGCAGTAATTTTTTTGTGGGCTTAAGATTTCATCTTGAAAATGCAACATTTGTATTTAGCATTGTCAAAGGCAAAAGAGGAATAAAATAGTGCCTTCCAGGTCAATGAAAAATAAATCCACCTCCTGATCAGGCTCTGCTGCTGGCAAGGTATTGTTCTCTGAGTCTTCTGACTGGTGCTACACAGGCTTTCTTGCCACCTCCCAGGCCCAGCTGCTGTTTGCCCACCTGTGAGCCTTATTCCTGCCCCAAAACAAGGAAAACAGCAAAAACAGTGTGGCCACTGAGACTGGGCTTAAGGCCCAAGAACAGCTTTCCCTTTGGGTTCTGTTATTGCCACCATGAAGCTACTCGTGGAAGCCCAGGAGCAACTGCTTATTAACCTGTTCCTCTCAACTATTTGTTTAGGAATCATATGAGTGTATAGACACTACAGATGACGAGGATGATTTCAAAACCAAACCATGATTTATTTGTTGATATTTGGAAATGTACATTCAACTTCTTGTGTTTTGTTACACAACTCGATGACACATTTTCATTTTTGTTTTATTTTAATAAAGGGTGTGCTCACCGTGTGCCAGACCATACCAGCACTTGGCAAATTAAACTCATCTAGTCTTCATAACTTCACCGTGGTGTAGGTACTGTTTTTATTCCCATTTTACAGATGGGGAAGTTGAAGCACTGAGAAATTGTCATGGTGGTATTATCATGAAAATAACATTAAGATTGATGAAATGTATATATTAACTAATTTTGACTCATAGGTTAATCCTTCTGCCCTTCCCTGATCCTATCCCAGATGGCTTTTGGAATGTTTTCCAATACACATTAAAGGGTTTATCTGTGCTATCTCTGGATTCTACTCAGAAGAATGTTGCCCAGGCTCTGTTATAGTGAAGGGTAGGTTATAAAGTCAGCACATAGTGGAGAAAATGCCACAGAGTCCAAATTAACTCTGAAAATGCTTTCAAATACCTCAAAATACTGCAGTGTGGTTGTATGCTTATGACCCTCTGTGGTAATTCTAAGGGAGCTGAAGTTCTAGAAAAACTGAGCCTGACTGAAGAAAGAAACTTTCAAATCACTCAGCTTTTAAGATAACCTTAGGGTCGAATGGGGATTGGATGAATCAATCAAAAAGCTTCTGCTTGCCTGCAAAGTTGATTCCTTTCTAGTTACACATCGAGTTTCTTTAATCTCAATGTCTGGTAATAGGCTTATCTGTTACCTTAAACATGTTTGCTCAAGCACAGTTGTGCTTTTTGATGAAGTGTAACCAATTGCTTAGGAAAGGGGTCTCAAGAAGTAGAAGGCCTGAGTTTGATTCCCAGACTCTTCATAGATACTTAGCATTGACAAATTACATAAAGTATTTGACCTTCGGTTTGTTCATGTTTAAAATGGGTGCATAATCTGTGCCTAACCTTATAGGTTCAGTGTGAGGGCTAATTCCCATGAAGCTCTTTGAAGGGTTCCTGGCACTTACTAAGGGTGCTCCAAATGTCAACTATTCCTGTTATTCTAAAGTCAGGGGGAAATTTAAAGAATAGGTTATGAGATTCAGCTGTACCATATTGTCCTTCATAATGCTATCATTATGAATTGAATTAATAGGGGCCTGGTTCCATTACTTACAAGCTTGTGACGTTAATCAAGTTACTCAACTCCTATGGCTCAATGTCCACAACTACAAAAAGAGGTTTTAAATATTACAATCCTTGTAACATTATTGTGAGCATTAAGTTAATTAATTAACATATGTAAAACTCCTTGGACAATGTCTGGGTTTTTAAATCTGTTACCGCTGCTGTACCCCAGAACCTAGCACATAGTAGGAGCTTTTGTTAAGTGGGTGAATAGACTATCAGTAGCCATAGTAGGAAGAACTTATCACTTTAAACTGCTATGTTTTGATTGACACTGTAGTTCCAAAAACATAGTATTTGGTCACAGTGTGATTGGATGTAATATATGCTCACATTCATTAATGTCGCTACTGATCTCGTAAAATAAATCTGTAAATACTGAGAAGCCATCAAGCTCACAGTGGTGGATACAAGCTTCCCAAAATTCTAAGTTTTGCTTGGTAGCTTGCATTTTATTATTGACAACACAAACTGTCAGTTATTTACCTTGATAGACCCACTTTATTCATTTTCAAGAAAATATCTGTCACATATCCACATCTGAATAACCCTAGTTTTCCTGTCAGTTATTCTTTCAGGTAAAAATGGTGTTACTTGGGAAGAATGACTGGTTCAGCTTGAAACTCAACCTCCTAAGTGTTTCAGTATACTGGAGAATTATTTTATGCCTAGTTCTCATTTTGTCATACAGAATATTTTAAAAGCTATAAAGAGTCAAAAATTTAACAAAATTAATAACTTTTAGCACTTCAAGGATGACATTCTTGAAGTGTGTTTTTAACAGTGAATGTGTAGAATGAATAATCCAATGATTTCTGGTACACTGGAAGTCTGGTGCCATTGTCTTGATTTGTATGAAGATATCAGCAGGGTTTTTTTCAGCATTGCTTTTGTATAAAGTGCAGATTTCATCTCAGTGAAAAAGGCAATAACCTCTTAATATCATTATGAAATTATTTTGACTTCAGGCACCCTCAAAGGGTCCTGGGGAACCCCAGAGATCTGTGTACTATGCTTTGAGAATCACTTAGCTATGGAAACATTCAGTAGATAAAACTGGCCAGTGGAAGGGATAGCAGAGTCAAGGATGACATCATTTCCCATTCTAAGAAAGTGAGTGGGCACAGATGCCATTGCAGTGAAGTGAGGGACTAGAGGAAGGGCGGATTTGTGGCAGAAAAGATAGGTTCATGTTGGTCATGAGGCATCTAGAAGATCTCCCATTTGAGTTGCACATCTTGGGACATCTTGTGCAGTTGTTCATTCAAGAAAGATTAATAGAACATCTAGTGTGTGCTGGAAATGAGAGGAATGTTTTTCATTCCCAACCTTTTTAATGAGGAAGTCATTTTCTTAGTGAAATTGTAAGCTTCTTTAGAGGATGACCTAAATTGTATATTTAGAAAAAAAATTGTATGGACCTAACACAATGCAAGATATTGACAAACTATCCCAGTTTACAAAAAAATGATATTCTCCTTCCTGACTTCCCACAATGACATATAGTTTTTCTTCCACCCTTTATCCAAGGTCAGACAGTAGACAGACTCATTCTAAACTTCATCATTAATCAGGAACATGCAAATTAATATCATAGCGAGATGTTCTATACCCAATAAACTGGTGAAAATTTAAAAATCTGACAATACCAAGGATTGAGGGTAAAGTGGGTCATTAGGGATATGAAACATCCCCTACGACTCAGTATATGTAGACACAATATATATGCATATATATACACACACATACTTACACATATGTATGCATGTATATATTTATACATATTTATACATGTACATGCATATATATGTGTGTATATATATACATGTCCATATGTATATGTATCCTGATAAGATGGCCTTATCAGAAGTGCTTGTTCTCTGCTAGTTGGAAGATTAAGTTGACACCACCATTTGAAAAACAATTTCACACTATTACAATTTGACGTTACATTTTCTATAATCCAGAAAATCCAGTTTTAGGGATATACCCTGCCAAAAGCCTAGCACAGGTTTACCAAGGGAACTGCACAAGAATGATGATAGTAATATGTTAATAATGGCAACTTAAATGACCATCGGTAGGAAAATAACTAGTGGTATAGTCCCACAGTGGAACACTACACCGCAGTAAAAAATGAATGAACTACTGCTACATGCAGCAACATCTTGAAATCTTAGAAATATAAGCCTTAAAGAAAAAAGAAAAATCCAAAAGACTACATGCAGTATGATACATTACGTTCAAAGCAAACATAACTTTAAACATATTATAGTGGATAATACCTATTTGATAAAACTATACAATGAAACAGGACTACATTTAACCCAGAATTTTAAGAAGGTGTTTTCTCCCGGTGGGTGTGTAGACAAAAATATGTTATACAGGAAGAATATACAGGTCAAGGCAATGATATATGTAACCTTCTATGTTTTAAATTGGGAGGTAGATAAATTGGTTTTTATTAAAATGACAGAATATATACAAATGTGTGATACACATATGGCTGAGTGTTTTTATATTTATAACAAAATAATATTAAAATATGATAGGAGAAAAGGTTTCTTTGGTAAGCCTTTGCTTTAAAATTTTGTAACTTTCATGTTTTACACGTGTATTGTAAATATGAACTTTTCTGCATGTCTCCTAATAAATTATGAGAGTTTCCAGGGCAAAAATCTTCTTTCAGTCATGTTTACATCTTGCCTTAAAACAAAAGAATTTCTAGGCTATATTATGCACCAAATCTATGTTTGCTGACCAAAAAGAATTAATCAGAATAAATACATAAATAGAAGCTGCTTTCTGGATTGATCTATAGCCAAAATAATTCATATATATATATGCCTCTTTTTATTATTTTATTTTATTTTATTTTTGAGACAGGGTCTCTGTCATCCGGGCTGAAGTGCAGTGATACAATCATACCTAACTGTAGTCTCAACCTCCCAAACTCAAGTGATCCTCCCACCTCAGCCTCCCGAGTAGCTGGGACTACAGATACACACCACCATGCCTGGCTAATTTTCTCTATTTTTTGTAGAAATGGGGTCTGACTTTGTTGCCTACGCTGGTCTCAAATTCCTGGGTTCAAACAATTCTGCCACCTCTAATTTACTTATTTTTAATAGGAGAAAGATTACTGAACCAATTTTGACTAAGTTTATGGGGTGAGTTCGCCTCAACCAAATACTGCAGAGGATTGAAATCTATATTAGGATAGTCACTGCAATTATTTTCATGTTAAGACCAGATATCAGAACATTTTAAAAACAAATATGTGGTGTTCTGTCTGTAATTAGCCACTGAATATGTCAAGTTAATCACATGGTTATGTCTTGCTGTAGCTTCACATGAGAACCTTGCAAGTCTGTTTTGTACTATGTTGTGTCTTAAACACTGTGTGTGACCCATCTGTCCTCTGGAATTACTTGGAGTCACCTCCCATCACCCATCAGTGTTCTTTCAGGAATCATACAGATTAATAGAGTCCTCACTTCCATGTTGTGCCCTGAACCTTTTCAACTTTAATATAGTCCTGACAGTGGGAACAAGGACAAGTATATGCCCTCCAAGAACCGAGAGCTTTCTAAATTTTGTCTAGCTGAGGTAATAACCAAGTTTATTGGTCTAGGCATGTCTTTTAGGTCCCTTTTCCCATTAACTTTGTGGTTGTGAACAGTTGTCTTGAGGTTAGGAGGAAAGGTGATTTAAGGAAAAAGAAGGAGCAGAGGGATGGAATGTGTACATAGCCCTTTCTTTCTGAATTATGTCTCCTTGTTTGGCGTTCCTTCCTCTGGGCATTTTGTTTCATTGGCTGTGATTGAGCCCGGCCTTTATTGATCCCCTTGTCCCACCAGCACTGTGCGATGTAAATGCAAATGTCTGGAGTCATCAGGGATGCTTCATAAAGTGTGGAGCAGACCCAGAGAAAGGTTATGAAAACACACAATGCTTTTCCATTGTTGTCGCTTCATGCAGACATTATTTATATATCATGAGGTGACCATATGTTTGAGTAACCATTTATATGGATGATGAGAGAGTTTAAAAGTTCATTTTTTTGATACAACGTATTTTCTACCCAGTCACAGCCTTTTCTATATCAGTATATCATCATTTACCTTGCTCTGAAAGAACTTGAATATATATAGGGGTGTGTGTGTGTATATATATACATGTATGTGTGTGTATATATGTGTGCGTATATATGTATATACATCTATGTGCGTATATATATACACACACACAAACACATGCATACACCTATATATACATCTGTATAGATGTATGTATATGTACAAGTATATGTACACATAATATATATGCATACATATATATGTGCATACTCATGTATACATCCATGTGTGCATGTATATATTTATAC